AATGGTAATCGTAGTCAAATGTATGTCTTCTTCTTTCCCTTTTTTTAACAGCAAAAATAAATAAATAAAAGAAAATTTATTGATAAAAATCAATATGCAAAGAGTACTGAAATAAATATCAATAAAGGAAGGATTAGTGCACAAAGTTTCAAAACAAAACTAAACAATCCTAACTAGGTGGGCAGTGAAAAAACAAGTCATCATCTACACTAATAGGTTAGGTTTTAAACATTAAAGTGGTTTAATTAAAAAATGAGCCCAAAAAATAGGATAAATTACAAATACACCCCTTGAAGTTTGCTTAAAGTACAGATTGCCCCCTATGGTATGGAAAATTACAAATATCTCATTGTTAGTATTTTTTTATTTAACAGAATTAACTAAAAAATGAAATTCATAATTGTTCTCCTATACAATAATAAAATTACCTAAATTATTAATTGAATATATTTCTAATATCATTAAAAACTGTTAATTGACTTGATGATTTATTAATAAAATAGGCGATTTGTTATGAAATTAGAAATCTCAGGGGATAGAATGTAATTTCTAAAACCTCAGGGACGATTCGTATTTTAATCAAATTTCAGAAGGTGTATTTGTAATTTATCCAAAATAATAAGTTTGGGGGCTAACTCAAAATCATTTTATATATACAAATATATTTTATTTATTTGTTTAATAGATTAATTTTAATTGTGGTATATAATTCAAATAATGACAATTGTTTTGTTAGGTCTAGAGCAAGAAAAGTTGTTTTGGGAGATAAGTTGATATTGGTAAATAGTTTAATTTATTCTTTTTAGTATGAATTTTTTTAAATAAATATATATATTTGCTCGCAGGTGATCGGACATCGACGGAGCTCGGAAGAAAGGAATACGGGCACGCCGGAATATTTGCTCCCCGTACAATATATATATATATTAATTTTAAAATTTTGAAAATATTGGTCTTAATGGTGAAGTCAGACTAAAAGAATGACTTTGGATTATGCTAAATGCTAGACTGACCTACTCCAAATTTAATTTTTATTTTCAATGGTTAATTTTATTGTAATTGAACTATTTGAAGGGAGAACTTGCAACTATGCTTAATAAAGGGAAGATTAATTTGAGGAGTGACCGAGAAAGGGACTACTCTCTTTGTTCTCTTTTCTATTTTATTAACCATTTTTTATTGAGTTTTAGGTTAAAAATTAATTAACACATGTGATTTGTTATATAATTGGATGAACTTTAATGGCCTGTTTGGTAGGGCTTATTTCCAGCTTATTTCGGCTTTTAGCTTAATTAAAGCTATTTTGATATGTTTGGTTCATCTTAACAATGCAGTTTATAGCTTTTTGTAAGTCAAAAATCAACTTATTTTTTGAGTGGGGGAGGAGAAGCTTAATTTATAAGTCAAAAATCAACTTATGTTCACAGCTATAAGTTATAAGCTGTTAGGCTATAAGTTACAATCATTTTCCCACATCTCTACCAAACAGGGCCAATATAAGATTAATTATAATTACAAAATTTCAATGGCATAATTTCTTTATGTTTTACCATAAGTACAATTTTTATAGTTTATTCTATTTTTTGTCTTTATTTTTTTAATAAGTACAATTTTTATAGTTTATTCTATTTTTTGTCTTTATTTTTTTAATAATTACATTATAACACGTATTTTTATATTTAATACATAAAACACACCATTGATGACAAGACCATAAAAAAAAGATCTTAATTGTAATTGTCATGAAAATAACTAAAACTTATTTGGTTCTAAATCTCTTTTTCCTTTTCATTTTAAAATATTTTTAATTATTATTTAATAATATTATTATTTTTTAATTACTTGTATGATACCGTTCATAGCATGGGTGTACTGCTTGTAGACCAATAATGAAAATTTTGACTATATATGCATATGTACTATAAAAAGAAAAAATTTAAAGAAAAAAAAAAAAAAAAAAAAAAAAAAAAAAAAAAAAAACAAAAAAAAAAAAATCAACCAAAAAAAAAAAAAAAAAAAAAAAAAAAAAATAGACCCATTCAATAAAAATTTGAAACATTCAATAAAAAATGAGAGGAAAAAAAAAGGCTCACTTGTTAAATGGGCCGTTGTGCCATTACTCTCCATTTCTTGAAACATTCACTAATAGACCCACACAACACTTCCATTCATTGTCTAACTTGAATTTTTCAAGTCTAATCAAAACAAACTAAAACATCTTGTTTTTGAAAAACAATAAAATCAAACATAAAGGCATTCTAAACAATGCTAATTTTTAAAATTACAGTAAAAATTATCACAATGATTATCATCAAAATAGTATGAAATTCAAAAATTAAAATAGAAGACCCAAATTATTAGCATAAAAAAATCAAGTACTCGCTCTTCTTGGTTCTTGCTTCTCTACCGTGTAACGCCCTCAAAATAACAACAATAAACCCATCTAATAAGACATACATTTACATATAAACTAACCACATTCTTTCATTCATTAGAGTTCCATTACATAAGTATTAAA